GGGCAAAGTTTTCAAAAAAAGGCAAAAAAAAAAAATCCTATTTGGAAAGAAAGGGAATTGACAGTTAAAATTTACATGTGTACAGCGTGTAGCCAAAAGATCGCTTCACCCACTTCTTGCTGGTCACCTGAGGGAAAAGTAATGACTGTGGATGGAATGGACTGGCCCCACATTAAGCCTGGGATCCGTCCTATTTTAGCACCATTGGTTGTAGGACAACCGGACATTGTGTACCTCCTGAACAAACACCATTCCTAGTCCTGTCCCCAATGTTGAAACTGAATTTGATCAAGTCTTTTCTTAAAAAAAAAGATTTGAGAGAAAGCCTGTGCACACAAGCTGGAAGGGCAGAGGGAGAGAGAAAGAAAACCTTACACAGACCCCGCACTGAGCACAGAACACAACATGGGGCTTGATTGCACATGACCCTGAGATCATGACCCGAGCCAACACCAAGAGTCAGACACTGAACCAAATGAGCCACCCAGGCGCCCCAGATAAAGCCTTTAGATGCCATTTCTACCAAACAGGAAGCCCAGGAGGGGAAAGAGTACATTAAATGATACGACAGCCAACGATCAAATGTGGTCAGACAACCCACTGACCATTCCAGGTCATCTACAAAGGGAAGAGGGAAGAACGATTCTAGATTAACACGACTTTAAGAGACTTATCAAAATTAAATGCAACTCATGATTCTCAATTGAATTCTTCTCTAAATGGCCCTGTTGTAAAAGGAAAGGTTGGGGGGATCCTGGTAAGGGATAGGAAGAGAATTAGCCAATTACTGTTAATTTTGCAAAATTGTATTGTGGTTATAAAGGAATATGCTATTTTTTTCGAGATACAGGCTAAAGTACTTTGGGGCTAGATGTCATGACGTCTATAATTCACTTTTGAATACTTCAATTAAGAAAAAAACAACTGAAGAAGCCAATGCAGCAATATGTTAACAACTTAAATCTAGATAATGGGACAGAGGTGAGGCAGGGCCACAGAGCCATCACACTGTGGCAGTAAGTCTCCATCACCAGCAGACCGGATTTTTTTTTTTTTTGCCACATCCCTCAATGCCCCCAAGTGTGTGTATGTTCTACATGTCAAATCACTGCCTGCCAAAAGAAAAAAAAAATAACAGCAACCCAAACAGGTGTAACTTGATGCTAATAGCTCAATGCACAACATACACAGAAGCAAGTGTGAAATGAGAGTCTTGGAATCTTTCATTTAAAAGCATGAAATTCTAGAGCAGGTTTGTCTTAGCCGGCGTTGCTCAATTTTCAGGAGCAGCTTTATGGTCTCAGATGAGTCCAAGTAACCTCAAACAACTGGTCACAATTCAGGAGGAAAAGGGAGACGGTAGGCCTAAAACTTGTATTTAAAAGAACCTAATTCAGTTACTACTTAAGCCCATGACAAAAAGTTAGATGTCCTGAGCTACAAGCTTCCCTGAAAAATACAGTTTGAAACTTAAAGATATTCTGAGTTTAAAAAAAAGAAAACACATAAACTAAGATCTTACTTGGCAAAGTAGATCCACTCTACATCAAACGACTTTATGCTATTCACTTAGAATTCTAAGAACTTGGTCCACAGAAGACATAGGTAGTTCTTTAAATCTGATTTTTTTTGTAAAGATTTTATTTATTCATGAGAGACAGAGAGAGAGAGAGAGAGAGAGAGAGAGAGATAGGCAGAGACACAAGCAGAGGGAGAAGCAGGCTCCATGCAGGGAGCCCAACGTGGGACTTGATCGCGGATCTCCAGGATCACACCCTGGGCTGAAGGTGGTGCTAAACTGCTGAGCCACCTGGGCTGCCTTAAATCTGCTTTTCAAAAGTGTTCAGCCATTGAATTTCAGGTTTTAGAGAGACCCAAACAGTCATGTAGTCCAACGGTCTACCCAGTGGCTCAATGTTTATCATTTGGGAAGAGCCTGAACCTACCATTAGAGAGAGCAATAAAATCTGATTGATCTGGACTGGGGTGGGAGCTGGAGTGGGGGAGCTCTCCTGGATTCCCCCAACACCACACACTCCCTCACGAAGACAACTGACCCATTTCCAAGATGGAAGCAGGTACTCCACGTATGCCATGTTTCCAATATAGTTTTACTTCTTTCTTGAAGTCGCATTGGCATTTTACAGGTGGTGTGCTTTTTTTCTTTCGAGTTAGATTTTCTTTTCCTAAGCTTTAGAAAAAAAAAATCACATAGCTTTTTTTTTTTTCATAGTATGGGTCATCAAGATTGGAGGTCTTTTACCTGGGGTGACCCGTCTCCACATACATCCTATGTTCTGACCTCCCATTTGACTTAGCATCTATTCCAGACAAAAGTGTCCCTGTTTAGATGACAGATTATGGGGCTGCCCTTCTTTGACCTGGAGGTGTGGCCAGAAGAAAACATCTTTCTCTACGAGTGCTATCTCCACATGGACCAAATGCTCAGACATTCAAGACCAACAGCTCAATTACCAAATCTTCTCTAAACAAAGGCTCTTTTAATGAAGTTACATTTTGCTGGAAAGAAGCTGGAAAATGATCTTGTATTCTCTCTTGGTGCAAGACTGGGACAGAGAAATGCAGAAAAGAAGGGCATTTCAGGTACAAGCCTCTTAAGGGTGAATCACTGCTGGGACCAAGCCCCATATGGGCTCCCTTACTCAGCGGGGTGTCTGCTTCTCCTCTGTCCCTCCCCCTGCTTGTGCCGCTTGCTCTCACTCCCTCTCTCTCTCTCAAATAAATAAAATATGTTTTTAAAAATTGAAAGGCAGAAGTAGGATCCAGAATTTATGGCTCATCTTCCAGCATTTGGTCCATTAAGTCACACACTATCTTTCCAATGATCATCTTGAGGTAGTCTCTGTAATTCCTCTTACACCCTGCTGCTAAGAAATGATGCTGCCTCTTTTCATGTAAGAGGTAAAAACTCAAAGCTCAGATTTGTCTGGCTCTTCTAAGATTTGAAGCCTAATCCCAATACCAATTTTAATCTCAGATTTCTTTTTAAAGATTTTATTTATTTATTCAGGAGAGACCCAAAGAGAGAGAGAGGCAGAGACACAGGCAGAGGGAGAAGCAGGCTCCATGCAGAGAGCCCGACGTGGGACTCGATCCCAGGCCCCCGGGATCAAACCCTGAGCCAAAGGCAAACACTCAACCACTGAGCCACCCAAGTACCCCTTAACCTGAGATCTTAACAGGCTGAGAAATACAATCTGAATCCATTTCATTTTTTTTTTATGAAGGGCTTTGCTAAAACAGAAACAACCAAAATAAAAGCCGCTGAAATCTTCCCAGTCCAACCTCTTCCTTCAAAACTATAAAATTCATGGAAAAGAGTGAGAGCAATGGCATTCTGAACATAAGAGCACAATTTACTGGTCAGCATGCAGATGTTTCAATTAAAAAACAATCTGCCCATCTTGTTCATGGTGCGCTGCGTGGCAAGCAAGAGAAATGAGAGGTCTCCAATTCCCTGTCAATTTGTACTCTAGTAGGAGACAGACAAGTGAAGTATTAGGGTAATCACATGGGCATGAGTGCTAAGAAGGAACCTGCAGGTGAGATGTGCTTCCCTCCCACACCACAAACAACTCACAGCGGTGTACACGTGCACAGTTCCCGTGACAGCTCAGAGAGCTAACCCTCACCATCAGTCATCCGAGGCACGCAAAAGTATGGGGAATATTTTTTTAAGACTTATTTATTGGAGCGGGGAGAGGGCAGAAGGAGAGGGAGAGAGAGTCCCAAGCAGACTTTGTGCTGAGCGTGGAGCCCGATGCAGGGCTTGATCTAATGACCCTGAGCTCACCACCTGAGCTGAAACCAAGAGTCAGATGCTTAAATGACTGCACCACCCAAGTGCCCCAAGTATGGGGAGTTTTTAAGAAGATCTCACGGATATCACCTTGCACCAACTTTATTTATGTATTTTTAATAATTTCTCTAGGTGCTATTGTAGTATCTTATCGGGATGGGAAAAACTAAAAATGTCCATGAAAACAGGACAGAAAACCAAAAGGTCTGCCTACCCACGGCAGAAAGGGGCTCCTGCTGGGCGAACAGGAAGAGGAGGTTAGCTGGACAGAATGAGGTCCCGTTACAAAGTGTCCAGCATTGCACAGAGGCCCTGACGCCAGAGGGTGACTGTGGGCAACCGTGGGGGGATGATGGGACGAAATGAATGTTCTCTCAGCCTTACAGTGGACCCAACATGAACAGGGCAGGGAGCTGGGGGCTTGTTCCAGTGGTACTGGCATGTGTGGCCCGGGGAAGCAGTAACCTTCCTGGATAAACTTTGTCAACCATAGAATAGGCGAGTTGGACTGGAACACCTTCACTGTCTCCTCCACGTCTAATGTCTTTGTTCCCCCAAATGTGGTCCAAATCCCAGTTATAAGTGGCTCTAACCTCATGTGCTACTAGTCCAATAACTTACTGCAACACACCACAGGGCCAACAGGAACAAAAGAGCTGATTTTGAGATACAGAAATATCAGGCACAGTACTCAAAAAAAGCTAAAGACCCAGAAATCCCAGCCTGCTGGTGCTTCCAGAAAAGGCATAGGAATCCCTAAGTTCACTCACATCACCAAATCTCTCAATTCAGATTATACACGCCAGGGAATACCCAGTTCTGGTAGGAACAAAATAATGCTTTCACACCCCCTCCCCAAATTAGGGATTTTTTTAAAGGAAAGTATTAAAACGAACACACATTACCCAAACTGTATTTTTCTATGGTGAAAAACAGAAGAATCAGAATCCAGGCTCCTTGTGAAATCAACCCAGATGGAAGGCAAGACCCTTGCACAAAACGCAGTCCATGGACCAGCTGCCTTAGCACCACCTACTAGAAACTCCGTAGGTGGGGCCCAGCGATCCTAGTTTTAAGAAGGCCTCCAGGTGACTCTGATGCATGTCTGAGTTTGGAAAGTGCTTGCTTGCTCATCAGACACTGACAAAACAAAACAAAAACAAAAACTAAGCAAACATACCTGGCCCCAAAGATGTCCTTTTTGGCGAGATCAATTCCAGAAACAACCTTCACTCTGAGAATACGTGACTCTCCCTGTTGAAAGAGGAAAAAAAAAAAGTTTAAGAAATGGACCTTCAATGGGTCATCATCTTACCCAATATGCAAATGATTTCTGTTCAGACCAGTACTGGGGACACAGAGCCCATCAGCTCAGCACAGCAATTCTTCCCTACACTGAAGTTCAAAAGGCAACATTCCAGCTCTAAAATCCTACAGCCCTAGAAATTTAAAACACCCTGGGGTGCCAGGGTGGCTCAGTAGGTTGAGCGTCTGACTCTTGTTTCAGCTCAGGTCATGATCTCAGAGCCCTGGGATCGAGCCCCAAGTCCAGCTCTGTGCTCAGTGGGGAGTCTGTTTGTCTCTCTGCCCCTCCCCACCACATGCCCTAATAAAAAATAAATAAATCTTTTTAAAAAATTTAGACCATCCAGGTTAATTTAAGCACAAGTTTAATTCAAACTACATCATGCAGATCCATTATATGGGCCAGTAAAAGATTTCCCAGTTGTACCAAGAACACAGTGTATGTCTGAAACCATCTGGATCTTTAATTTTAATGAAAAATGTATTGAATAAGTAATTCTCTTATTTATAACTTTAAGAAATAATTCCTCTACGAAAATGTATATATTTGTGCCCATAGCCTGAGACAGAGATGTACTTCACGTGGTAAATCATTTCCTCAAAATTACAGTTTCATAATGTTAGTATTAAACAAGCAAAAGTAATTCCTCAGTTGCAGTGGAAAAAAAAGTATCGTTGTAAATGGAAATCATCCCAAACCATCTCAGAAATCACTCATTCGTTTATCCACCTGCTTATTTTATACACTCCAACATTCTCTAAGCAGCTCCTATTGCACTGGGCATTGAGCAACATCTTAAAATATAGATACGAATGCACTCAGAGTCTTCTACAAGGGACAGGAACACGTATAGCACAAGACCCCATGATGGGCTCAAAAAGCACAGGTTAGAGCAGTAGCCAAGAGCTAAGACATTCAGGCTAGAGGAGCTGACTTGCTCTCAAGTTTCTGGTCTGGGTCACTAAGTGTTAACGTGGATTGAAAGGCAGGAATAAGATGAATTCAAGGTGTCTATGAAACCACCAGGTGGTGGGTGAAAAAAGACTAGGTAAATGGGAGAGACACCTGGTGTGGGTCACAGGGAGGTGACCAGTGTAGAGTGATAGTTGGTGGTTACAGATGCAGAAGGACATATTCAGGAAGGGTGAGGAGGGGAAATGGCTAGGGGTGAAGCTCTTGGGCATGCAAGCACCGAGGGGGCGAGAGAAGAGGAGGGTGAAAGCCAGCTATCCAAGTGTTTGGTCAAGACCTGGCTGAAGGAAAGAAAACCCAAATGATTCTGTAGACTATGTCAAAGGAGGCAGGATGATTCCGTAGAACTATGTCAAAACATGAAGAGAGGAGGCCACCAAGCTCTGGTCTCAATTAGCTCACACAATGAGCAGACCTGCGAGCAACTGGAACTGAGCTGGAGACGTCACTTTCCAGGACTCTTCTATCCAACCATCCCCTGACATGGGGCCGACCACATGCACACACAGCAGAGACAAAGAGGTTAAAAAAAGGTTTCGCAACTTGTATGTGCTTAGGGTCCCTTTCCAAATGAGGTCTGTCTGCATTCACATTTGGATTTACTGTGCTTGGCAGGCTTCATGAAAGGGTTCAAGGCAAGCAAGGGGTAACTAAAACGGGACTCTGCTACGGCGAGCAGTGTCTCCAAGCGGTTACCAAAGCTTCCGGGTTAGGTGCCCCTTCCCTTGGTCCCTTTAAGCAGGCACTGACTGCTCTGACATTTCTCCCTTACACACCCCAACTGCCAGGCATCAAGGATTCTGCTAACACAGCGGTTATCGGGCCTACGGCTCTTTTGTCTCTGCCAGCACACTGCACCCCAGTGCCCATCATCAGACTTCTCTGATGACCTTCTGATGATCTCAACCTAAGGAATGCCACAGTAGATGCATTTTTTTACACGTGGATAAAATTTGGCAGCACCTTTGAAGAGTTTCCAGTACACCTGGGAAGAGTTCAAGGCCCACTAGCACATACAAACTGAGGATTGTGGTGAAAACAAAATCTGTGTCTGCCACACTAAGAGGTTAAGACTACCGGAGCGGGAATGAGGAACAATTCAGAAGAAATGAGGACAGGAACAGGTGGTAGGGAGCATTCTTTTCTGCCTCCCTGCCTTCCCCATCCCAGCTCTCCATCCGCTCCCCACCCCCATGACAAAGACATCCAACCAGCAATTCTCGCCCAAACACCACTGTTACAGAGGGGAGAAGTCGGATGGCGGATAGTGCTAAAGGAAGTGCTAAGTCTCCAGGCCAGTCCTGGGTGCTGGCTGAAGGAGACGGTGGATCTGGTCTGTCAGGCAGTGACTCCCTCCATAACCAACACGGGCAGGGCAGCAATCTTTCCACCCCACGCTTGCACTTGTCATCGAGTTAGGGAAGATAAACCAGGGACTCTGTCTAGGGTGGCGACCAATGTACAGTCAGTCATAGAGCAAACACAAGAATTCTGGTAAGAAACAGTCTCTTTGTCTCATAACCCTTGGGATTCTCAAAACTCCTAGGCAGTGTCCCGGACTTTCCACCAACTTCATAGTGGGCTCAACTGTATCCTGTCTGGATTCTAAAGAATAAGAGAAGCCCAGCTCACACCCAGTTGGTTCCCTTAGGTTTATATTAACATCGGGTGAATGTTCTTACACTGGGCAGACCTACTCTTCAAAAGCATACATTTTAAAGTCAGATAACATTTATATGAATAAATGAATAAAATAAACGTCACTGAAGGAGTAAGTAGAATTTTTTTAACAGAAATCCATTTATTCATTTGGTGAATATGAGCACCTAAGATCCAGAGACACAGCAATACAGACCCACAAAACACCTATCCCCACCCTGCCTTCCGCCCCCTGCCACCTTCTGGTATTATTGAAAGTTCATTGTATACAAGGGCCTCTCAACTACATGGGGTCACAAATCGGGCCTCTGGAGGGCAAAGGGTAATACATAACATATATTTTAAAATTTTGTACACACATCCTTTCACTCAACAGAGTCTCATTTGGGAATCAAACCTAAGAAAATAAGCACAGAAAAAAAAAAAAGAGAATAAGCACAGGTATGTGCACAAAGCAAACCAAAGAACAGCTAAAAGGACAGTCACCAAAGCATTTTTTAATCAAAAAAAAAAAAAAAGTCCCTCTAAAGTAGATGTTTCAATGTTCACAGCAATTCTGTACAATGAGCTGTCATTAAAAATGTGTGAGATTCTGGGGCACCTGGGTGGCTCAGTAGGTTAAGCATCTGCCTTTGGCTCAGGTCATGATCCCAGGACCCTGGGGTGGAGCTTCCCATTTAGGCGGGGGGGGGGGGGGGGGGAGGGTCTGCTTCTTCCCCTGCCCCTCTCCTTGCTTATGCTCATGCACTCTCTCTCAAATAAATAAAACCTTTAAAAAAAAAGTGTGAGATTTTGTAATGACCTTCATTCATTCCACAAGTGTTTGCTAAGTACCCACCATGTGCCAGACACGTTATCTGGGAGCACAGATATGAACAAGATGGAGTTCCTGCCTCAAGGAACCAACAATCTAAAAAGGCAGACAAAACATAAATAGATATTGCAAACAGGAATTTCTGATGGTGGCAAGTGTTGTGACAGCAAGATGAATAAAAGCAACTAAGCTCAATAAAAGCAACTAAGTAGAGGGAGAGGGGGAGGATATTTAAGACCCCTGATCAGGAAAGGCCTCTTTGGAGAGCGGACATCTGAGCTGGACCCAGAGGAGACAAAGGGTGATGCTGGGGTGGGGATTTTCATGCAGGGGTGACACCACGTCCCGAGGCTTTGGAGAGCAAGTCTGCATTGCAGGAGAGGTGAGAGCAGAGTGGTACGGTGGGGCCCGAGACCCAAGCGGTCAGCCTCTGCAGAAAGTGGGCACTATCCCAACCATCTCTGGAATGTTTTAAGCAGGGGGCTGATGGCTTCCCATAGGATTGAGATGGAGAGGTCATCATGTTCGAAATAAACAACCTGGTTTATTAAAAAAAGTTGCAAAAACGGGTTATACAGTTGAGTTAGAAATAAGGCAATCTATAGCTGTAGCCCCTTTCCACATGCCTTGGACTACATTTCCCAGCATGCCTTGCAGCTGGGTGGTCATGTGACTACATTCTAGCCGGTGGCAGGTGCACAGAAACAATGTAAGCTTTTTCTGGCTCTCTCACTCATCATCACGCATCTCCACCTCACCTTGCCCCCTCCACCATCACCTGACTGACCTTGTCAGGACAGTGAGCTCCAAACAGACTTGTACTATTTCTTGCCACTGCGTACTGAAGGCTGCTTTAGCAGGCGACCTTTGCTCATATGCAATATAATCTCAATTTGCAATAAATATCGATTATGTATATGCACAGAATAAGACATATAAAGGATTAGAGTAACAGCGATTACCTCCGGATAATGGATAACTTTCTGATTATCTACATTTTTTTTTCTTTTTGGAACATTAAATATTTTTCTTTGGGAATTAAGCTTTTGTAGAAACTTCAAATAATACAAAAGGAAAAGAATTTTAAATCACAGGCTTAGGAATCTAGGCTTCCATATTTCTTTTTTTTTTAAGATTTATTTATTTATTCATGAGAGAGAGAGTGGCAGAGACACAGGCAGAAGGTGAAGCAGGCTCCATGCAGGGAGCCCAATGTGGGACTCGATCCCGGGTCTCCAGGATCACGAAGGCAGACGCTCAACCGCTGAGCCACCCAGGCGTCTCTAGGCTTCTGTATTTCTAAAACAAACCTTTTGTCATAATAAAAAGCTACAAGTTGTATTTCAGCCAACTCACAAAGGCATCCAGTGGTCTCCCTGGGAGACGTGATAAGGACACTCTTTGGTAACACACAGGTAACAGCTGGGGGTGAAAGAAGGAAAGAGCCTTTATTGAGCACTTACTAGTTACAAGAGCCTTTATTGAGCACTTATTATTTACAAG